TTCAGGGAGTGGCCCTTCACTGTGGGTATGTGATGGGGGGATGCTTTAGTTAACTCTCTTTCTTTAGACCTCTTAATAAACTAAACGAAGCCAAACAACAAAGGAAACCTATACAACTTAAAGGAAACTTGAAAGGGATAATGTATACTACTAGTTTGTACTAAGTATTTTTCAAGAAAGGGAAACAAATTTATATATATATATATATGCAATATATTTTTTCACTGTTTTATTAATGTTAGGGAGTACTGAGCATATCACTTTATCAGTGTGATGGGTAATGTCCATGTCATGGGTGTTCTGACACAGAAAGGCACTTCTGTTGACTAACCACACTCACCAGGAATGTCTGTGGGGTTGGGGCAGCCCTGCTGTCCCTCCTGCAGAGCTGAAGTGTGGTGTCACCTGCTGGACTTGCTGTCAAGGCCTGGCTTGCAAACCTTTAGTGAAACAGCTAATGTCTGTCTGCATATTGCTCCTGTGTGTTTGCTGTTGTTAACATTGTGTGTCAAATTGGTAAAGTGATTGAATAAAGGTGATAAAACATGTATTTCTGTTTTCCTCAAAGTGTGTGCTGTCTATACTAGCAGTCACACCCTCTGGCCGGCTGGGCCTTGACATGCATAGACACACACGCGCACACGACACGGGACACAACCTGGGAGGGGTGGCTGGAGGGAGTGTGCAGAGTGCTGAAGCCCACAGGGCCGGGGCGTCGTGTCTCCTGTACTTGAGGGTGCCTTTCGCTTCCTGGCTTAGACAGGAGGACTTTTGACCGACCTGAGGAGGAGCAGGGGGACCAGCCCTCTGTTGGCTTCGAGGCCTAGTCCAGTTCTGGTTCAAGGGGAACAGACACAAACTGCACCAAAGACAGGATAATGGCACCAAAAGGCTGCCATAAATCAAATGCCAACCTCAAGTACTAACCCAGTGGACTCATTTTCGAAATGAGGATAAAATAAGGCATTTTTAGACAACAAAATGAGAATCTGCCACCAATAGACCTTATAAAGAATTCTAAATGCGGAAAGAAAGGGATCGCACATGAACACCTGGGGATGAAGAAGTCAGGCAAAGAGAACAAACAGGAAAAAAACTCTAAATTAATCATGACGATATACATACTTTGTGAGAGTAAACGGTTTCCTTAAAATACCTGGAAACAACCACAGGCAAGGCCGCGGAGCACAGGGAGGTACATGTGCGTGGTCTCGTGCGGGAAGACAGGACAGACACTGTGGTGGAGAAGGGAACAGCACGCAGCTTCCACGCCGAGGGGTGAGAACGCAGAAGGATAAAGAGAGAATCTAAAATGGCAAGAGTAGAAAGGGAAAAAATAGCATAGAACAAACAGCACAAAATGAGATGGCAGATTTAAACTAAAATGTATCAACTATATTAGCTGATAAAGTGAGAGAAAAAAACACAGGACAGGAAAATTGATAAAATTACATTTTTAACCCAAATTTATTAGTAATTTCAGCATGGCTAAAAATAGAAAGGTAATAGTAGAGATTGAAAATAAAATAACATGGAGGCGAGGTTGGTTTTTGAAAGGACTGGAGAGAAGGTTCCGACGACTGACAGTAAGGAGGACAGAGGGTGAGCGCTGGGTCCCCAGAGCAGATGCTGAGTGGACTGAGCCTCACGGGGGCTTGTCGGCAAGGAATGCCCGTGGTGGCCCAGGGACAGGCGGGTGGCAGGGAAGCCTCCAGACCATGATGCAGAAAAGCAAAAGACACAGCAACGATAATGTGAAGGAAAATCCAAAGTAAAAGGAACAGGAAAGAAACCTGTTACTCAAAGGGGATGTGATTGTGTGCCCAGAAATGCCAAAATAGCCACAGGTAAATTAGTAAAATTATAAGATTGCTGGGATATGAAATAAACACAAAAAAATTGATTGAATTTCCATAAAATGGCAACAAATAATTAGAAAAATGAAATCCAAACACATTTGCAAAAATAGCATCACAAAATAAGAACCTAGCAACAAACATAACAAAAGATGTACGAGACCACTGTGGAGGAAGTATAAAGTTGTATGAACATACATTAAAGGACGACTAAGAAAAGGAGAAAGACGCCCATGTTACATACATGTCAACACTTTCCAAACTGATCTGCAGGTCGAATGTAATCTCAAACAAAATCCCAACTTAACCAGTTAGCTCTGAAGGGAAGCGTACGGAGTGCAGTGTGTCAGCAATGGCCGAGGCACCCTGGACCTGAGGTGGGAGGACACGCGGACCATGAGGGCAAAGGAGGCTCCTCAGCAGATGGGGTAACATAGGCACACAGGGAAACTGGATCCTTAACCTTCAAACGTGCACAAATCAATTCTGGGTAGAATATACACCTAAAATCCAAAATAAACAAAAACATAAATTCTATTGGAAGATAACACAGAATATCTTCATGCCCATGAAAAGGG